GCGGTCATAAATGTTGTATAAGTGATAGATCTATATACGTTTGAGTGTTGATGAAGACCGCAAACTGTATCGGAATGTCTTCGGCTACGGTGCGACAGCAATGCGGAATCACTCCTAGTCTTAACGCTAGTTGAGAAATCAACGGTTCCGGGTAAAATATTCTAGAATATTCGTGAGGATTGCATAGATCACCTAATTCGGATCAAATTCATAACTGTAAATGGTGGAATTATGCATGTATTCACTAGGAGCGATTGTATTAATACACTTCGATTAAATGTCTTTTTCGACGATCTCTAGGTTGATCTGCTTGAATATTCACTTGACAATGATGCAAGTCGGTGAAAAACTCAGTTATGCTTTTTCGGGATGGGTTTAAAATAACGATTGAGATTTAATTTTGAGAACAGGATTGGGTGATGTTTTCATTGAATGCAATCAGGATACAAGAACTTATTGGTGAGTTTGGTTTGCTGTAAACGGTAGGTAGTGCTATCCGCACTGATGTTCGTTTCGCATTCGTTGAACACTGCTCCTCATTCTTCGCTCATAAACGAGAATTACCCTCTTCGTTGAACGATTTTCAAACTCATTCCACGTATCAGTCACAAACTTATCAATTGAGATCAGACAAAAAACTGATAAACTTTCGGTTCAATGTAATGAAATTGAGCGTTTTTCTTTTCACCCAGCGATCATCACTAACTTCTCGTTTATGTGCTGTGTGATAACTATTTGTTTGTGAGCTTAATGTCATTTGAATTGATCAANATTTAAGATATCATTTGTTTTTGTTTTGGTTAATTATAGCACGAAGCACTTCTCATGAAACCATCATCCGCGAGTGTTTGATTCATTTTTGCTTATCTTCTTGTTTTAGCGCCTCACCATTGATTACTGTATGAAGTTCTCGATTAGTCAATTTTTTTGGATGATTTGGTTCTGCAGATCAGGATATATGAACACTCTGACAGTGAGATTGCTATCAGTTGAAAACGTTGATTTAGAATAATAACTGATGAGTTGAATAACTGTGTTTTTGCAATCAGCATAAAATATCATATCAAATTAGCTTTTCTAAAGAATTTTTAATCATCGACGCGAAGACGTTCAATGGGGTGACGGTTATCGTACACGTGATTCGAACATATTAGAAACCTTTAGATCTGGTGGTGATATTTCTCTTTCATTCAGTTGACCTTATGACCGTAAACGTTTGAGATTGGAAAACATTTCATAATATCAATCTTTCGGCTTCTTCTCTGCTCTGCTCCCATGAGCACGCTATTTATTCTTCAACATCATCTTCGAGTGAACCACTGCTTTCATGCAGCAATTCAAGTGCTTCAAACTTTGATCTTTTCGATATGAATTAGTCTCGGAATTTTG